TTGGACAGGCACAGAGCTCTCGGTAGGATGGTGAGTCCTGGGGGTGGAGACAACTGACATTGGTTCCCATTCTCTACAAATATAGGTCCAGAAGGGCCCAACTCTGATGTTTAATTATCTCAGAGCATTTGTGTGCTGTAATGCTGCCTTCAAGTTCCCACCCAGAGCTTGGGGTGACCCATGCAACCCCCCAGCCCCTTCTGGTGGCTTTCCTGTGGAGCCCCACGTTTGCTCCCACAGCCCTGATGGAACCTCATTGGTGTGGGGCCAGCTCTCCCACCCCATGGACGTGGTCAGGAAAGGTCCTTGGGTGTTCCAGAACCCAGCATGGCCTCGTGCCTGGATTTAGGGAGCCTGGGGGGAGCTGGGGCACAGCAGGCAGCTGGACCTGCTGAGAGCATCACGCTGCCTCGTGCAGACCACCGAGCAGCTATCACTTCTTAATAAACTTTTTGGCCATGGCTGACCTAGCCTGTATATGAACAAGTGAAAGGCAAGTGGTGAAAGGGGCTGTATAACATTACTAATCCCCTGGAGCCTTCTCACTGCAAAGGCAAGGCAGGTCTCCCTGCTGCTGTGTCCTTCCACTGCAGCTGCTTGCTTCACCCTCGTGCTTTTATTAAAATCAAATCTCAGAGCCCTGTTTCTGAAGGGGTGCAGCCTGGGGATGCCCAAGGGAGGGATGGAGGGGGGCTGTGGAGGTCCTTGTGCACAGAACTTGGTGCTCTGGCTCTGTGTGCTCCTGGCTGCAGTGTGCTGGGGAGCAGCTTTGAGGCTGGGTGGGGGGAAAGCAGCTGCCAACTGCCCTCCTTGGAGGCTCTGAGGGGTTTATATGTGGGATGTAGCTTGTGGGGTCTGCTCCTGCACCCCAGGATGGAGCAGGGATCTGGCTCACCCTGAGAATGCTGAAGCTCTTGGGGAGGTAAATTGGAAACTGGTGAGTAGTTGGGGCTGGCTGATGTGTGCTCAGGTTGGAAAAGTTAAACCAAAATACAATCTCAAAGCACAAATGTTTGCTCTGTATATTTGAGACTCTCTTAGGGCTTTGTAGCCTGCAATCAGCTGGGAAAAACAGAAGTGAAATTTAAGGGTGCTGCTTAAATCTAGGTGGAGGAGGTACCTATGTATATATTTAAATATTTTAGCAAAGATTCTGCAGTCTGAAGGAAAGTGGTTGATGGTTTGTGTGTAGCATTTACCTTCTGGCAGCATTTCCCAGCACAACTGCAGGATTTGGGACAGCAAGGGATGCTCCTCCTGGTTCTGGGAACATCAACCTGCCTGGAGATGCAGTTTCACAGGCTTAGGAAAACCAGCTGAGGGTAATTTTATTCTCATCATGGTTTCAGATCCCCACATCCCCACGAGTTTTGTTTGAAGCACAGATTTCAGGTTAAAGGGAACACAGGTATCAAACCACACAGTTCATTTTTCTCACAAACCTCTTCTAGAATTCTGTTGGAGTGTTGAAATCGAGTCTCCTCCAGTTAAAACTACTGGGTTTGGTAAAATGTGACTCAGAAAGGAGAGGGGCAGAGGGGGTGGGGGTTTGTCTGGAGTTGGGGTGCAGAAGCTCAGCCTGAAGTGGTGCCTGGGCTCCCCAGAGGGTTAATATCTGAAATGCTCTGGGAGCTTTCTCAGGCTTTTTACCAGTCAGCATCTGAAGCTTGTGGCTCTGTCCTTGTGTAGAATAGGAAAATACTTTGAAATCCAACAGTTCTTTCTCCTCCAGCTCTGCCAGGATGTTGTCACAGTAAATAGGTGTATTTTGTGTGTGTGCATTGTAGATCTTGTCTAAATCACTGAATTTTAAATGTTTTTATGTGAATCTGGAGTGGTTGATTTACATTTATTGACCATTTCCACAGACTAGTAGCTATAGACACATGGCACAGCCCTTTGTGTAACAGCTTTCCTCAGTATTTGGGTAAAATCTAATTCTTAAAATGAGAAAGGGCATCTCGATGACAATGGAATAAGAAGACATGATTCCAGACCAATTTATTTCCCTATCTCTAAACCATAGAATCCTTTAGGTTGGAAGAGATTTTTAAGATCATCAAGTCCAACCAAATCTGCTTCTCTAATTTTGTTTTCCCCCAGCCCCAATCCAATTTATGTACCAAAAAAAAGTTACTAAAAGTGTCTAGAGTTGTCTGATGGCTTAAGGAAATTTAAGAGCAATTGTCAGGTTTTTTTAAATATATTTTTTTTATTTTTTTCATTTGTCTTAGAAAGAAATATGAAATCTGCATGCAACCTTCTAAATATTTCAAACATTTAAATAGCATATGATAATTTAGCAGTACAGTACATTATACAGAAAGATAATATAGGGAGACTTCCTCTAGTGTATTTACAAATGAAAAGGTAGTTTTGTTATTTTAAAAAGAGGAATGCACTGCTTAACATTGAAGTATTACATTCGAAATAATGAATATGTTGTATTGTGACTAAAACATATATAGGTATTTATTTGCCCTATCATATTTCTCATAAAAAGGTACCTTTTGAAAGGCTTTTTTTGTTGTTGTCGTTGCTACAAATCTAGGAAATCATACACAAGAGTTGTGAAGCTTAAAACGTGTTGGTACTGAAGCCACAAAGTTTCTGTGAGAACTTCAGGTGGAAACAAAAATAAAATAAACACTATTTAGTAATAAAAAGGACCTAGAAATGCTTTCTAATGCCTGGCATGTTAAATGGGAGATATGATGTGCTTCACCTCGCAGCAAGACCTCGAGTCCATGGAAGAAGAAGAGGTACCCAAGTGATGCTCACACTGGTCTGATGATGTGCTGAGGGACCTCACTCCTGCAGTGACAGCCACCCCATTTCAGTGGTGTCTTCCTCAGCATCCTTGTCTTTGGTCCCCACTTTGCCTGGCTAAGGTGGAGGCTGCAGACGTGACAAAACCACAGCACTGAAGCGTTCCCCTCGTGGGAGGGGGAGGGACACGACTGTCTAACACCTTTACAAACCTTATTGGTTGTTTAATGAGCTTATAAAGCTCGATTGCAATCATAGTGAAGTATGAATGAATAACAATTTTAAAAAAAAAAAAACCACCCAGAACCCTCTTTTAAATGAAAAGTATGAGTTTTTCCTCAACCTCAGGACAGAGCAGACAGGGATGAAATCTGAAGTGCAACAGATGCTTGTGGAATCTGGAAGCCTTTTGGCCGTGGCTATAAAATGTAAAAACTGACCCTTGGTAAAAAGTGCTTTATAATAATATAGAATTTGTGTCTTATGTCTGTGAGTGAGAAATAATCTTCTGCAGAGCCCAGTCCTATGCCAGCCAAGGGAGTCTGCTCCATTCCTCCTGCTGCTTCCTCTTATTCTTCATAAACCCTAAAGGAAAGAGTAAGATGTTTGAACTAGGAATGAAACAACTCCTTTCCAAATAATAAAAAAAAAATTCCCCAAAATAAACCACATTTTTAGCCTTTAAGTAAATTGGGAAGAAAGATATTGACTGAAGCTGTCACTGGATTGCTCTCCATCAACATCTGGACTTTGCCACCTCCACCTCTCATGGGTGCAGAGGGTGTAACGAGCTCTGCCATGACTACCAGGATGGACAAGAAGAAGAAATCCACATCTGCTAATACTTGAACTGCTGGAAAATCCTGATCTTGCATAGAAATGTTGGAGTGTATGAGGTGTAGGCAGCTAAAAGTTCAAGATCTGTTCTGTTTGGAATAATATTAGACTTATTTTTGTTAGTTTATGCCCTCTGAGGGTTGAAAACTCCTAGCTGGGCAGGCTCTTTGGGTGAAAGGGGTCTTCCATGGCACAGGGAAAACTAGGGGCAGTGCTCTTTTGGGGAAAAAAGATTCATGTCTGTACTCTGATTTTAAATTCCCTCTCTTTTCCTGGAGAGCAGTGCCATGGGTTTGGTACAGCTGACACTGAAGGCACTGAAAAATTATTTCTAATATTTATTACAGGGCTTGGTTTAAATCAGGCCTGTTTCCCTGTTAAACTCTGCCTGTTTCCTGGCTGCAGAAGCCTGGGGTGAGGATCCTTTGTCATCTTAATGATGGCCTTATTAAAATAAAAACCAGAGGAAGAGTGTAAATAGGTGAAATAGGTGGTTGTGCAATAGCCAGGGCTTCCCTGTGAGTATCCCCGGGGTGCTGGCTGGGGGCTCAGCACTGACCACCACTTGCAGTGCTGTGGCATCACCCATGGCCTTGGGCACTGCATGGCTGTGCTGGAGCTCACCAGCAAGCTTGGACCTCCTGAGAGATGGGCCTTGCTGCTCGCTGGCCTCAGAGCTCAGTTCTGGGGAGCAAATTCCCCATCCATTCAGAAGGATGAGGCTTTGGTGGGACTCCATTGCATGGTGGGGCTCTTGGCCATGGCTGGAGAGGTGGTAGGAGCTGGGCAGCTCCCCTTAACTGCACACAGGGACGTTGCCACTGACCAGCCACCATCAGGAATTCATGTTTCTGGTTGTCTCTGTCTGATGGCTTGCCAAAAAGGAAAGACATCCTCTGCTACCTTCTCCCTTACAAAGAGGATCTTACCAGTGTGTTACTGGTTTTCTGGGGATGATCCAGCAGGTAAAATTGACTGAGATCTGTGCCATCAAGATGGTTTTGAGGTGGTGTGACCCTTCCCAGCTCTGCTGACTGCTTTCCTTGTGACTGTGTGGAAGCAATTCAGTGTTTTATCTTGGCTTATTGCCCACAGAAGGGAGGTGTGTATGCAAATAACAGCACGTCAGCTGAGGAATACTTGAACAGAAAATAATTATAGTTGGAACAGCTTAATCCTAAAATAGAAATGAGCACTGCACGTGGCAGGAAAGGAATGAGGAGAACATCCATTTAAACAGTAATTTTGGTAGTGCAATACATCCTCTGTGCTGGATAGAGAGTTTGCAGTGTGTGCATTTTCCTGGGCTCTGTCTCAATGCTGCTGATTGCCCAACTTGCCACCAAGGGGTTTTTCCTCCCTCCCCTCACCCCATTGAGCAAATTCCTACTTACCTGCCTTTCTCTTTCCATACTCTGTACCACTTGAGCAGCCTGATTGTGTTCTGACGTTTGGGGTTCAGGCAGTGCTGCTGCTCCCCTCTCACCCGTGTCCACAGGGTCACGCTGCAAGGCAAGCAGGCATAGGTCACAGGAGCCCTGGCATGGGCCAGTTCTCTCCTCCCCCTCCAGGAAAACACCAAAATCATGCAGGGGGTGAGCAGTGGGAAGGTTTTCACGCTCTGTGTTTTATGGCAGATAGTTGGGTTGGTGTTATCAGAGCAGATCTTTGGCTGTTTTCACTTGGTACAGTGCAAATTGTCCACCCCTGGGCTAGGTTCTACCAGATGAGGACTTACCTGCTGGTTTAAGTCAGTGGGTTTGCTCTGCCTGGCTGTTGGATATTCTTTTGAACTTAATAGCTGATTTAATTAAGGCTCATTCCAGCAACCACAGGCCTTTGCTTGAGGAGATGGTTTCCTTGCACTCCACAGTGTTGCATCCAAGAGGAAAGATCAGACCTGGTTCATTGATTTAAAAATTTCTCTCCTTTTTAAAATTTTTAGTCCCCCATATTTGAAGTGCTTCACGTGTCACAATGCCTGTGTGCCCAACAGATGAGCTCTGAGCCCTAGGCTGCAGTCCTGGTGCCTTCATCCTCTGCCCACAGGCTGATCCTGCTCTCCTTGCCAGCACCAGCAGCTCACTGTCCTCTGTGGCAGGATGAAGTGTCCTGGGAGGCAGAACATGGCAAAAGTCTTCCTGTTGTTTTAGGTTTCCTCCTGGAGGGCTTAGTGAAGCCATCACTAGTTGGTCTTCCATAACTGAGGTGACATGAGAGACCTAGAGCTGCTTTCCAGAAATGTCAAGGCTTCTCAGCATTCAAAACCAAGAAATTTTCTGGCTTTCTTCTTAATTTTGTGATTTAAAATAAAAAATCAGAAGAAAGCTCCACTATTCTAACTGGAATTATTCATTTTCTGGAAACACCTAACAGGGAAATGTGGCTTGACTGAAATACTGCAATGGAGTGATTTAAACTCTGCCATGGTCTTACTCAAGTCTCCAGCAGAAAACCACAAGACCTGGGCATACTGATGGGTGTCCTCTAGGATTTGGGTCAGGGAAGAGCTGTTCATCTCTTGGCACAAGAAGTGGTGCCTTGCAGAGGTTCCCAGCTCACCCACCCACTGCAGAAGGGATGTGGCTGGTGAAGAAAAACTTGGTGTTAAGGGTCTCATCAAGTTTCCCACTTCAGGGCTGCACAAGGTGTTCAGATGGTTCTTTTCAGTCCATAAACCTTCTTCCCAGCTCCTGTTTCTGCTCCACCTCCCTCAGGTGAAAGGTGCAGTCACTAAAAGATGAGGTGTGATGTTTTGGTGGGTTTTTTGAGAGGATGTGGCCCTTTCCCCAAGGTGTGGGGAAGTGGTGGAAGGATTCCAAGAGCCTCTGAAAGCCTCTGAGCCTTCCAAGGTCACTGATAAAATCTACAGACTACTTGTTCTGAGGTTGTTCTCAGCCAGTTTCTCTGGAGACCAGTGTGTATGTGAGAAATGGAGTTTTCCTGTAGCTTTGCACAGAGATGAAGCCAAACCATCAGTGGAGACCCAAGGTGTGCAACCTTTAAGGGACCTGAGGTAGGTGCAAAGTTTTTCCATCCAGCAGCCACCTTCTTGGCTGTGCTGCCTGCACTGGCTGATGCCAGACCTTGGCTTGGTTTTCTCTTCTGATAGACCATAGAGGGTATTTCCAGAAAGTGATGGACCAGCTGAATTGCAGCAGGAGCACTTTGGAAAAGCAGCAAGCTCTATATTTGCACCAGGAGCAGTGAAGGACAATTCTGCATATGCTAGAGCCTGGAGTCTGAGGAGGAGGAGATGCAGGATCTGCTTCTCAAGTGAACTGGGTCTTTCCTCAGGCTGAGATGTGATGCTTTGACTTCCCATGTAGGTTTGGTGCTTTGATGCTGGACAGCAGAGATGTTCCCAAAGCAGCCTTGTGGTTCTCTGCAGTTTCTGTGCAGTCCTTGGTGCTGTGGGCACAGGGTTGGGTGGTAACTTTTTTGGACACCCTGAGCTGACCTGGGGATGCTGGTCCAGCAGATGTGAAGGGGACATGACTAAGAAGAGCTGCTGTGGGAGCTGATAGCCTGAGTGAGGAGTTGTCTGAATGGGCTGCAAGAAGAGGTGGAGGGGGTGGAGAAGGGACTGAAGCACTAGAAATTACAACTCCAGTGGGATTTGGGATGTGGGTTTGCTCCAGGGGTGTGTGCTGAGCTGTAAGTTAGCTGCCCAGGACTGCCAGGAAGGCTGCAGCCTTCACCTACAGTGTCTGTGGGTCCCTGTGCCCAAATCATCCCAGTCTGTCCATGCCTCCAGGGCTGTGATGAGCATCTCTGGGTCAGTCTGTGACCCAGAGTCCTTCATGCCCCCACATATCTCATCTGTAGGGATGGTGGGGCTGCACTTCTGCCTACAAACACCCTGTCCCCATGGGCTCTGGCTCTGGTCCTTTCATCCTGAGCCCATGCTGGGACTCCCATCCACCTCAGCTGTCCCTCAAGGCTCCCAGTAGTGCCTCTTCCCACCCTGACACATCCCCCCTCACTGGGATGAGGCAATAGGTGGAGGGGGGGGGGCTGGATCCTTTCAGGAAGAAAGAGTTAAACCTTCCTGCTATTTTCTGCTGCTTTTCCTCATTCAGGGAGACAGATACACACACACACAATTGCTTGTAGATGCACCGTGAATCTTGATAGGCTGTGACCAGACTGAAGACTTTGTTTAGCTGTTTCTTACCCTGTACCACAGCTCTGATGGGGATGGAGGGTCTATGGCCAAATTCCTTCCTAAACTGCACCCCTCTACCTACTGCTGCTCTGGCAAACACCATTTGCATCCT